GTCCTTGTGCTTGCCAGGCAGGCGCTTAGTCCGCTGAGCTATCTCCCCAGCCCCCTTCTTTGTTTTTATTACTACATGTTTGCAGTACACCATGCTCACGTTCACTGGGTGGAAGCTGGAAGAGCACATAACATAGCTTAATTCTCTTCCTCCAACCCCCATCTCTTGGTCCTTTTCTCATTTGCAAAAGTTCTGTCTTCTTGTTTCCTACTATCTATCTTTTATTTGATTCTTTCGTGCATTTATACCATTTATATATATTTAACCTTGTGTGTCTGATTCGTGTCGCTTAACATTACGGTCTCAAGGCGCACCCATCTGCCTTAGTAATCCTATGCTCTGCTTGGTTGGATCTGCCTTTTGGCTGGAATTTATATAAGATGCCCAAACTTGGTATTAGAATAGTGGAGGCTCCTTTTCCATCTTCACTCAGCCATCCAGACTCGGCTGAAGTCGCCAAGAGGCTGACTAGACGGCGTCAGTAACAGTATAAGAAAGCTGGAGTCCACATTGATGTTTCTAGTAATTAGCATGACTTGGTTCAGCAGGAAGGTGCAGGAATCATCCAACAGCCTGAATATAGACTGCCTGCACTAGCTGTACAGTGCACAGCTTGCTGTACCCCAAAATGTTATCTCCTGCCTTGGGAACAGTCCCTGGAGAGCCGCCTCAGCAAGGAAGGGTTGCTGCATAGTTCCATACCTCGTGCTCAGTACCATCCAGCGCCCGGTTAAGGGGCAGAGGTGGCCAGGTGGGGCAGGTGGCCTCTCTGTCTGGTCTGTGGGACCGAAGCTTCCCCTCTTTTCCAGGTTACAAGTGTCAGCCACCACCCCTGCCAATTCAGATAGAGCACTTCAAGTTGTCGTTGGGAGAATGCTACCTACTCCTGTGGAAAGCTAGGGGATAGGCCCTGAGCACCCCATCCCCCATCACTCTGTGACAGGAGGGGCCACCAGGAAGACCAGGATGGACTGTCTTAATTATCCTGTCCTGCTGCACCTGAGCAGCCACTCTGATCATCCTGACTTTGGAGATCCTGCCCGCCCCCAGAGCCTCTACTCCTCTCATTGTAGACCCAGTCTGCAGGGGCATCTCCAGCCTGGAGAATGATGGAACAGAGGATTCTCGGCACCAAGGCTGGGCTGTGTTCAGGAACACGGTGGGCTCTGTAGAGGAGGTGCCCAGATCGACCCACGGCCACCTGGACATCCAGTATGCCCTGAGTACCTGGTGTGTGCTGGGCCTGGGCTGGAGCCTGGCATGTATTCCTCACCTCACGGCAGCCATGGTCAACAGCACTTCCTCCGCTCGTCATCTGGGCCCCAGCTGGCTCTGAGGCCCTCCTGTCACACACCCCTAATGTGTGCCTCCCACTATTATTCTCTGCTAAGTGTACAACACCGCCCATCCAATCTGTAATTCCTGCCAGGTGTGGAGGTGTCTTCTTATAATCCGGGACATTAAGGCCAAGGATTACAAGTTTGAGGCAAGCCTGGGCAACTTGGTAAGATCTTGCCTCAAAAGAAAAAGAAAAAGAACTGGGGCTATATAGCTCCACACTCCCTGGGTTTAGGGACTGCGTTAATCCTTTCATGGTTTTAGTGCCGCTGCCTCGCCCGAGGTATGGCAGAGAGCTATTTGTTGGATTAGTAATTAAGTCTATTACTTTAAATGTCACAGTGGAAAGTACTTTGGGAGCAGAGTTTTCATGAGGTGGGATAAGAGAGTCCACAGAGGGTCAGAGAAGCGTGAATGAGAAGCTCTCTACCACGCCCAGGCTCACTCAGCGCGACTCTCTGGCAAAGAGAACAACCTATCCAGCGCGATGATTCTCTTGGTTTTCTTTAAAAGTAAATCTGAGCAAAGTCCACAAAGCAAAGGCAGTAAGCAAGAAGAAAATGTAAAAGGCAATTCAAGGGAAGGGGCAGGGAGATGAGCGAGGACCCCTTGTTTGGTTCAGGAAAACACTGGTGTTTATAAAGAAGGGAGATGAACACTTGGCACGAGAACACACACACACACACACACACACACACACACACACGCACAGAGACGTACATGCACACACCCATTAGGTCAACCTCCGCAAGTGAGGGCAGCACAGTGGTCCAGAGCTCATCTGCAAACATTTGGAAACCATCACCTTGCTTTAATTTATTGAAATAAGAAATAGGGTTCTGGCCAAATAGCTCAGTGGATTAAAGCACCTGCAAGCAGGCACAGGGGCCAGGGGTCCGATCCCCAGGCCTACTATGCTGGTCCCAACCCTGGGGTGGCACACACCTGTAATCTCAGCTCTTGGGAGGCTGTAAACAGATGGGTCACCACAAGTCCAATCTAGTAGTGAGACCCTGAACACCCTGTAGACCCTTCCCTAAAATATTTTTTAAAAAAAAGAAAGAAAGAAAGAAAAGAAAAGAAAAGAAAAGAAAAGAAAAGAAAAGAAAAAAAAAGAAAAGAAAGAGGAAACTGCTGGTGCAGCCCAAAAGAAGCCATGTTGTGTCCCAGCTCAGGCCAGAGCTGTTCCAGTTCCCCTTGAGTGTGGGTGGCTGGTGGGGCCCTAGGACGCGCATGGCCTGTGGTACAAGGTGAAGAGTGACCAGGGCAGGTGGGCCCTGTAGGGGGAGCCTGGGGTGCAGACGGGCTTCTCTCCTCTGGTGGAGAATGCAGACTCACACTAGCCTAGATTATCCTGCTACTAAGGCTGAAGGGGCACAAGGGATTCACAGCGAGCGGCAGAAAACACAGCAAAGTGGGCACCGACAGTGGCAATATTAATAAAAGCCAGTGCACAAGCCCACCAACAACTCCAGATGTCCCTCAAACAAGGAATGATGATTTTAAAAAAATGTGTTATTTTTATACAGTGGAGAACTACTCAGCTATAAAGACAGATAAACTCAAGGTAAATTGATTTAACTTGGGACCATGCTCACAAGTGAGGTAAATCAAACTTATGTGTGTAAACATTATATCGTCTCCCTAGCATAAAAAACTAAAAGAATAAATAAGATCCAAGATGTACAACAGACATTGTGAAAGGGAAAGAAATTGCTCAAAAGGAAAGAATAATTAGGACC